TACTACTCTCTCTCTCTCTCTCTCTCTCTCTCTCTCTCTCTCTCTCTCTCTCTCTCTCTCTACTAATTCTCCACTACTACTAATTCTGTTTTTCTCTCTTTATATAATTCTTTTTAAAATAATTTAAATAATTTAAGGTAAGACACCTCAGGAGGCCACAAACCACAGGGAATTAACAACTAGTCAAAATCTCACGTCTATCGCGATCGCGTATGTTCACCCTTTTCACTGACACTCGCCAATCGTTCGAAAATCGATCGTGCTCGATACATCGGTTTGTTACGTGTTGCAGATTACGTGCTCCTCTTCCGTTGTCTTTTCGAAGAAAGGCAGTCGAGCTGTCTCGATCGACGCATGTCTCGCGTGTCTCATGCGTGAGCCCAGTTTGCGTTAAAGTAATAAGGATCAAACGATTTGGATTCGTATCGAGCGTGCACGCGCGAATAATTATGCGTTTCGCGCATGCTTTCGCGCATGATTTCGCTCGAGCCCGAGTCTCGGAGTTAGAGTCCCGTAGTTAGATATCCGCGAACATGTTCACGCACGTAGGCATGAATTCACGAACGACACAGCCGCGCGAGGCTGCGTCGCGTAGCGGTTCGTAAGCATTGTCCTACATGCGCCGATCGTTGCCTTGCGGCGAACACAATAGTAGAGTACGAAGTCAGTAAAGTTAGTTTTTCCTTCAAGTTGACTCGATCGCGTATACGCGAAAGGCGCTTCGTTTTTATTTATTTATCGGCACTTGAACGCCAATGCAATTTTCTGGAAAACTTGATGGAATTAAAGCTAGATTTCCAATGGCCGTAAAGACCCGACTCGCTGCGCGGTGAAACGCGGTTGGAATATAGGTCAGGAAATCTGTATACGTTAGTATAGCTAGTGGTTGTTGCACCACGAATTGTCGATCACACGTATATACGGTATATAGGCGTGTGTGTTTGCATGTACGTGCTAATTATCGCGAGCAAAAAAATGGGAATCGTCGTACGAGCTTTTCGTTGAATCGGTCACGCTCGATCTACTTTCATAGATGCATTAGCGAATGCGACAAAGGAAAAAGGGGGATACGTCCTCGTTCAGTTTTACAAGGCTAGTTCGCTAGTTCGATTACAGCTTTTGTACCGCGAGATCGACATAATTGAAATCGATTTACTACCTCAACGTAGGCATTTCGTGCGAAACAAAATGATTACGAATCGTACATCGAGTACATTGAAAATGCGTCTACGCATATGTGAATCATTTCTGAATAAAAGGCATTTTGTTCGGTAAAACTACAATCGATGCGACAAATACGTAACGATATATACATTGGAATCTAGGATATTATTGGAATTCTAATCGACGCACACGCGCGTCGCAAACTAGTGTCAAGAATGTCGTGCGTTTAAGCGAATTTTAGGTGCAGTTGGGTCAAGAGTTATTTTCGTTTCGTTATCACCGTTCCGTAAAGCGAGAAAGTCTTTCGGCTTGGAAAACCCCGGCCGAATAACTTGACGCTGAATGCGTTCCCATCTCGGCCGACTGCGCCGACCGCGAGGAAATTCGTGGTTGAAATTGCGAACAAAGGATGGCACGAATCTTTGAAACGAACTCCGTCTAGATGATCTATATCTATCTATAGCTATTTTTATTTTCTCTCTCTCGTACCCAATTTTTCTTTTTATCCACGTCTTTTTAACGTGTTATCGCCTACGTGTCGTTCGCGGAAAGAAGAGATGCCGATTACAGTGTACATTGATGACAATTCGAGACTCGGTACGTAATATGAAAGTAAAGGGATAATGAAAGTTGTTTTTGTAAAGATGAAAATGATACGCTTTAAGAATCAAGGCGCCATCCTGTCGCAAATGGAAATGGAAATGGAAATGGAAAAGAAATCAAGCGTAGTTGTACCGTCTTTGAAATTAAAGGTACCTTGCGAGGAGGGTAACGTAATTTTTTTCTTTGCGTCGACAATCGACATCTGCCCATGACATCTGCCCTTTAATCGCGAAGAGACAAATGGTGCTCGAGTTGCGCTCGAGTTTCATCTGGGTCTAATTCTAGTTCGCGCGAGTCACTTCCTTTACTTTAACGAGAATAGAAATGATCGATCTTATTTGTTTGTGTTTATGCAAAGAGTAATTCGGAAAAAAATCATCTATGCGAGAAGCACATTCTCTTAGCTTAGAATAGCTTTATTATTAATTTATAATTGTTTTCACGAATTTTAAATAAAAATTTGACAACCGATCGCAACATAACACTCAAATACGTGGAACCATCATTTTTATCATTTGAACTATTCGTCTTTAACTGATGCGCAATACTGACGTATTCGCTCTCGCTTTTGCACCGTTCAGTATCGTGCAATAACCCGAGTATCGTGCGGACATACACTCGCCCTATTATACTTTGTCCGTAATACTCGGAGGTGCCGCTCGTAGAGTCTCGAGGTCTCCTTGTCTATCGATCGTTGTTGAATGAAAAAAGAAACTAAATACGATCGATCAAAGTCAAAGTCTTCGACTGCAGTCCGCGTGCGCGCACGCTGCGCGCGCTCGACGAGACGCACTCTATCTACTTTCTGGTTTCTTGCTTTCTTGGTCTTTTGACCATTGCTTTTGATGCATTTTTCCAATGCATGTGATCCACTATATATACGATGTGTATAAAATCTATGATTCCGTACGCTCTCATTTTATCATCGAGATTCAATCGATTTTGAATATTCGATGCGAGATCTGCTATCAACCGAGTAGAAAGTAAAAGGTTCTTCCTCTGCCTTTGCTACCGAACGATAATAAAGCGTTCGATAAGATAAGCGAGTGCTTGTCGTAAAAGGGAATTTATTAGGACAAAGAATTTAAATAAGATCGCTACATGCTTTTCTTAGCTTTTCTAAATGTGTACAACACACATTCGCTTCTTTCTAATTCTATGATGTGTGTGTGTGTGTGTGTGTGTGTGTGGTGGGGGGGGGGGGGAGGCGCGTATTTATATATTTGGAATTTATCGAGTGACCTGTTATTAAATTTTACCTGCATGTTGACGTATCAAGATAATATCGAAGCGTACGATGTCGAAACATCGGGCTCTCAGAGAGATCGGACGATCCGTCATGGTCAATCGAAGCAACTTTGCAAGTTGACTTGGGAGGTCGTAGCACCCCTCACATGGTATAACCCATTTGCAATTGCTTGCGCTTCTAGTTATAGTTGTAGAGCAAACGCGAGCGTTAAATATCGCGTCATTTTTAATTTTGGATCCCGGCAGTCCCGGCAGTCACAAAGCCCTTTGCGTGCCGAAGGCCCGATGGTGAGAACGAGGGGACGTAATCTCGAAGGGGCAATCTCGTCGTCACGCGACGATGGTCAGCCGACTTCTTCCTTCGATTAAGAGGCACCTCGATCGAGTGGTCGAGACCATCACATCATCGCAACCACACCACCACTATCATCACTAGCATAAAAGTTTTTGCATAAAAGTTGTCGCATTCTCGTATCGCGTCGTAATCCGTTGCGCGTGAATAACGTGCTTGGTGCATTAAAAAACATCATTCTATGTGTAACTAACATTATTCTATGTGATTCGCATCATTTAATTAATGTTTCGATCGATTATGTCATGTATGATTTGTCATATTTATTTTTTTGACAACTCGTGTGCAACTTCAGCGTGAAAATATAGTGCTAATCTATTAATAAAGCTAATACGCTATCGGACACGCAAACATTATTCCGCGTCATACATCTATATCTTTCAAATCTATCATCTATTTTTTTGAAATCTTCGGTACGTATTCGCACATTTATTGACACAATTATTGTGCATGATATATCCTCAAATAAAACATTCCGCGCGAATCGTTATTTGTTCTTGTATAATGTCATTTATCAACGTATCATTTATCAACATACGTGAATCAAAAATTAGATGCGCGTGTAAATTTTTATTAAATAATGTTTATTATTATTACACACGAGTCCGTTCAACAAGACTTCAAGATTCGTTAAGATTGAAAATTAGTAAAGAGGATTCATTAGTAAAGAATATTTCCATATGTCTCTTTATATTTATTTATTATGTTTATTTATTATTTATTTATATATTTATTTATTTATTAGGATAAGAAATATAATCACTGTATCCATTATATTCTAACAAGTATTTAGTGAGTAGTATTATCGTAAAAATCTTAATATATGTTTCTTTTCCTTTCTGAAAATCTTTGTGTGTATAAAATTTTTACCGAATAATTTTTGCCGAATAAAAATTTTACAGTCGATCTTTTTAAGCCGATTCGAAAGGAAACGCTTAATAGTTATTGAAAATAAGTAACAACATGCTAAAACGATATCTTAAAATGATGTTTACTGATAAGACGAAGAAAGTCACTCATCTCTAACGTTCGAGAAATGAAAAAAAACTAAAATTCATCCTGATTGACGAACGTGATGTTCTTATGGGCTTATGTTTGTACGTGATTTCGCACGTGATTTCGATATGTAACAAGTAGAATTGCTGAAAAATGCTCGCTCATTCAGAGTATGTATCATGGCAGCAACATATCAAGCGTTATTATCTCATATCAATGTTGCAGGAACAAGCCCAAGACTTTCGCTTTCGACCACTGTTTCTATTCCCTGGATCCTGGAGCGGACAATTTTGCCAGTCAAGAGATCGTTTTCGACGCCCTGGGTCGTGATATTTTGGACAATGCATTTCAGGGTTACAACGCCTGTATATTCGCCTATGGACAAACCGGTATAATATGAAACGCAACTTTGCGATAGTTGTTTTTTAATTTAGCTCTTATTCGCCGTATACAATACAGGTCTTTAACTTGATTGAAGTTGAAAGAATTAACGCGTTAAGAAGGGTGCGACAGTTAATGAGCGGAGCACGAAAGCGGAGCGTAACGCGGCAAATAACGCGATTAATCGGTTGGGTCGTCACCGATAAACGGGTACGATTGATTTTCTGCGGGGCGAGACATTGACCTACGAAGCAGAAACGAGGCAATAATGCAAGCTCTTCGCGCGCCAATCTGCATACTCTTGCATTCGTATATACATACTCGCGAACAGAAGGAACGAGAGCGATACGATAAGTAAAAAAAAGAGATGAGCTCTTGCATTTTTGAACCTTTAGCAATTTTACCTTGTTGCGCTTCTTGCGCGTACGAGCTTGGAGAGATTTGTATATTCGATTTCTATTCGATTTAATTCGTCGCGTCTCTTCGATATTCCTTGTATATTAGATAGAATTTTACGTGACTCGATATAAATAAATAATCTATCTAAATTTTCAAGAAACATTTCACATTAAACGTTTAGCGTTTCTTACGATGAAATATAACTGCGCAATATATACAGTATATATTGTATTTGTATCAGCAGGTAGTATTAGTATCAGCAGGTATCATTACAGTATATACATAAAATGCCCACATAAAATGAAAAATAGGCTGGAAAAGAAAATTGTACAGAGAGAACCGGCAAATTCTTTAAATATCATTTCTGAAGTAATAAATGAAATTCATTTTTTTTTTCTCGATGATCTTAAGTATATTATATAACTTTAAACTTAAGATTACTTATCGAGAGGTGACAGAGAGAATTAATAACGTTCTTCTCTCGCATGCATGGCCATGTCCTTACAGGTTCCGGGAAGTCCTACACGATGATGGGCAGTGGCGACAACAAAGGGATAATCCCAAGGTTATGCGACAATCTCTTCGATATGATAGCGAAGCAGCAAAGTTCCGAGCTCACGTATAAAGTCGAGGTCTCGTACATGGAGATCTACAATGAAAAAGTACACGATCTCTTAGATCCGAAGCCAAATAAACAGTCACTTAAAGTCAGAGAGCACAATGTCCTGGGGCCCTACGTGGACGGGCTGAGCCAACTGGCGGTTACTTCTTTTCAGGTACTTACTCTTACCTTTTTTCTGATCGACAACAATTTTCATATCTCTGGATCGTGAATCATTCCGTGAATTCCGTGAATCCCGCGATTCATTTTATCGATGAAACATTTAACTTTAGGACATTGACAATCTTATGGCGGAAGGTAACAAGTCGCGAACGGTCGCGGCGACAAATATGAATTCCGAGAGCTCCCGTTCGCACGCCGTATTCTCAGTAATTCTCACGCAAACTCTAACAGATTCCAAGAGCGGAGTCAGCGGAGAAAAGGTCTCGCGAATGAGCTTGGTGGATTTAGCTGGGAGCGAAAGGGCTGTGAAAACTGGAGCAGTAGGTGATAGACTTAAAGAAGGAAGCAATATTAACAAGTAAATAAGACTTCCAAGACTTTTTGTAGAGATATCTCTAGCTAAGAAGCTTTAGCGTTTCTTTCGTAGCGTAGGGACATATGAAACACGCGTAATAAGGAATACGCGTTGATTTTTATAGATCCTTAACGACGTTGGGTCTAGTCATTTCAAAGTTGGCGGATCAAAATTCCGGTAACAATAAAAAGAAGGACAATTTCGTACCCTATAGGGATTCTGTCCTTACGTGGCTCTTGAAGGTATATTGAATTTTCTTCCAGTTAGCAAACTTCAGAGATGCTTATATCTGTTTTATATTTGTCGAGTTATACTCTCATTAAATATCTCTTTGAAATTTCTAGGATAATCTTGGTGGAAATAGCAAAACTGTCATGGTAGCTACGATATCACCGGCCGCTGATAATTACGAAGAAACGCTATCGACTCTCCGATATGCTGACCGAGCAAAGAGGATAGTCAATCATGCTGTAGTCAACGAAGATCCGAATGCTAGAATTATTCGCGAACTTAGACAAGAGGTTGAAACCTTAAAAGAAATGTTATTACACGCTACGGTATGGGAAGATCTTTTTTCATTTATCTATCTGTTGTAGCTATGATTTAAAATGACACTCCGTGTCAGAGCGATCGCACGACAACGCTTTAATTTGATTTTTGTTTGGCTCAGGGATCGATTGTCGGCCAACAACGCACAGATATCACAGAAAAACTATCGGAATCGGAACGATTGATGAAGGAAATGTCACAGACGTGGGAAGAAAAGTTGGTAAAAACCGAGAGATTGCAACACGAGAGGCAGCAGGCTCTAGAAAAGATGGGAATAAGCGTACAAGCATCTGGTATTCAAGTGGAGAAGAGCAAATATTATTTGGTTAATTTGAATGACGATCCAAGTTTGAACGAGTTATTGGTTTATTACCTCAAAGTATGTTACACGATTCGATTCGTTGGTCATTCACTTTTTCGTTTGAGACGTTCGCTTATCGCATATCGCTTTGTGTTTTAGGAAAGGACTCTCGTAGGTGGACGTTCAGCCAAAACGGAACAGGACATTCAATTGCACGGCTTGGGTATTCTACCGGAACACTGCGTTATCACGATAGAAGAATCAGGCTTGTATATGACACCGTTAAATGGTGCTCGATGTTTCGTCAACGGTACACAAGTTGTAAACAAGACTCTGCTACAACATGGCGATAGAATTGTTTGGGGGAATCATCACTTTTTTAGAGTCAACTGTCCCAGAAGTGCTACAGGTACGCGATTCGTTTCGGTGTAATGATCTCAAGATGAACTGTATCGATTTCACAGTGTATGCGTACAGGAATATAACACATTCCCGTATTGTTTTGTCTACAGCAATCAATAGCGAACCGCAAACTCCCGCTCAGAACATCGACTACAACTTTGCCAGGGAAGAGCTGATGCTTAACGAACTTTCCAACGATCCGATTCAGAGAGCTATAGCGAGACTGGAGAAGCAGCATGAGGAAGATAAGCAGGTAGCACATTTTGTGTGTCGCTTTAATAAGCATCGTACTTATCAGGAACACTCGTACTTATCATTACACACGTGTTTCAAAGGTTGCACTTGAAAAGCAGAGACAGGAGTATGAACGACAGTTCCAACAATTACGCAACATACTATCTCCCTCTACGCCATATTCTCCTTACGTACCGTACGATCCTTTAAGAGGTAGCCAAAGTGGAAAGCTTCCGGCTTGTACACCAACGACACAAATGCGCGTTGAAAAGTGGGCACAGGAGCGAGACGAGATGTTCAAGCGAAGTTTGGGTCAATTGAAAACGGATATCCTAAAAGCTAACGCATTGGTGCAAGAGGCTAATGTCCTTGCTGAAGAGATGGGCAAACAGACAAAATTTAGCGTCACCTTGCAGATTCCCCCGAATAATCTAAGTCCGAACAGAAAGGTAAAATAATAAAAGTATAAACTGCATTAATGTCGTTTTTATATCGTATCTTTTCATTACTTATGTAGAATGTCTGAATTTATTAATAATATATATTAATAATATAACAGTATGCAGATTCATATGATTTAATCATACGACATAATCATGTAACGTATAATTGTATAATCCCACTTATTATACTCACACCACATATTATACTTAAATTTTTTTTTGTCTTTCCGTAGATTTGCGTTATTATTTGCGTTTCGTTATAATTAATATTGATCATACATTATATTTATTTCAACTTTTATTTTTCCTTCATATTTTCTTTTTCTTCTTTTTTAATTTATGTATTTCCTTTTTTGTTTCTTCGCACTCTTCGATATGCAGAGTGTATTTTTTCAGCGAGGCGCGTTTGTCAGTGAGCCCGCAATTTTAGTAAAGAGAACGAACATGGGTAGTCAAGTTTGGTCTATGGAAAAACTAGAAAATAAATTAGTCGATATGCGAGACATGTACGAGGAACGAAAAGATCCCCACAATTGTCAACGATTACCTTCGATTAAAGTACGTATATTTTTTATCTTTTAAGTATTTATCACGAAATGGACGAATTTATATTTTTTTTACAGGACGAAGTTCCAGGAAAGACACAAGATCCGTTTTATGAATCTCAAGAAAATCACAATCTTATCGGTGTTGCAAATATTTTTTTGGAAGTATTATTCCATGATGTTCGATTAGATTATCACACTCCGATTATTAGTCAGCAAGGAGAGGTTGCTGGTCGATTACAGGTCGAAATAAGTCGCATATCCGGACAATTTCCTCAAGATCGGATATGCGAAGCTGCTTCGGAGTCTTCTTCCGCTGATTCAACATCCTTCGAAGCGGAAGATTATACCGGAGGTTCCAGCCACATTACCTGTCGCGTAACGATAAAACAGGCCACCGGATTACCACTCTCGTTAAGCCATTTTGTGTTTTGTCAATATATGTTTTGGGGTCATCCAGAACCCATAGTGGTTCCACCTATGGTAAACGCGGAGCTACCCAATTCCAATTGCATCACTGGACAGAGGGATTCTTTAGCGTTTAAGTTTGATCATACAAAAGATTTTACCGTACCCATTACGGAGGAATTTATGGAACATGCGGCTGGTAAGAATTTATTATGCCGTCATTTGTGCATTTTATCTTTTTATCTCGTTTAACGAACGATAGAGTATATCTCGTCGATTATATTATTCACATTTGTTTATTGAACTCTTGCTTCTAGAGGGGGCATTGAGTATAGAAGTATGGGGCCATCGTAGCGCGGGTTTCTCGCGTAGTAAACCTGGATGGGAAGTGGAACAACAACAATTAGCGAAAGCTCGATCGCTCGCTGACCGATGGTCCGAATTAACACGAAAAATTGAATTATGGGTGGAGATACAAGAACTCAACGAGCAGGGAGAATATTCGCCCGTTGAAGTAGCAGTAAAGCAAGATACATGTACAGGTGAAAGTGGTCGTCCATTATATTTGTTTTGTCTATTAAAAAAATGTCACGTGTCTTAATTATAATTTATCTTTAAATTTACCTTTAATTTTTTTTTAGGCGGTATTTATCAACTTCGACAAGGCCAACAACGTCGAATACAAGTTCGAGTGAAACCAGTACAAAATTCCGGTACTCTACCGATCATCTGCCAATCGATATTAAATATAGCCGTTGGAAGTGTCTCTGTACGAAACCGATTGCAGATTCCCTTAGACAGTTACCAAGATGAAGACTTGAGTATACTGAGAGATAAGTGGAGCGATGCTCTAATGAGAAGACGTCAGTATCTCGATCAACAAATTCAAAAACTCATCAATAAACAAGGTATCGTAACGAGATTTATTATACTACGAATATTTTATTTAATTTATAACTTTGTATTTTTTATACGTTTTTACATCTATGTGCTTATGTCTCTGTAGACAAAACAGAACAAGATATGGAACGAGAACAAAGTCTCGTGGATCAGTGGGTAAGTCTCACAGAGGAACGGAACGCTGTTCTGGTTCCCGCGGCGGGTTCAGGTATTCCCGGTGCTCCTGCAGATTGGACTCCTCCTGCAGGAATGGAACCGCATATTCCCGTGTTATTCCTCGATCTCAATGGTAAAAATATTTTCGGCGTGTTATATTAATATGCATTTTGTTAAGTTTGTTAACGCGTTTACTTCGATTGAATGTACAGCCGATGATCTTTCAACGCATCAATCGGGAGAAGAAGTATCGGTGACAGGATTAAACTCGATCCTACCGAAAGAACATGGAAACAAGTTCTACAATTTACCGATTATTCGACATTTAGAGAAAGACGTATGTGCCATTGCCGCGTGGGATTCTAGCATACACGACAATGTACATCTCAATAGAGTAACTGATGGTGATTATTCTTTACGATTTTATACGATCAAACGAGTAGTGATGTGTTTATAACGTATACCGCGTTTATTTACATACAGCGAACGAAAGAGTGTTTCTAATCCTGAAGACTACCGTTCGCCTGTCGCATCCAGCACCAATGGATCTTGTGCTACGTAAAAGATTAGCTTTAAACATATACAAAAGGCAGAGTATCACCGATAGAATTTTCAAGAGAATCGTTCGGACTGATTGTTTGACGCAGACTGGCGTCACCTACGAGGTGGTTTCGAACATACCAAAGGCGAGCGAAGAGCTGGAAGATCGCGAGAGCTTGGCGCAAATCGCTGCCAGCGGAGAAGATAATAGTTTATGCGACGGAGAAACTTATATAGGTAAATTGAAAATGAAAGAAGATACGCGTGACTATCTCCCCAAAAGAGTGCACATCCTCAAGAATATCCTCATGTTAATCTTTGCTATTATCTGCGTTATAGAAAAATATACTCGCGGTGTGTCCGCCGTCGAAAGTATATTAACGTTGGATCGATTACGACAAAGCGTCGCTATAAAAGAATTGTTACAAGCACAAGGACAACCATTGATGCGCAAGACTGCAAGTGTTCCGAACTTTTCGCAGGTATTATTGTCTTCGCCGTTTTAATTGGATAAATACTTTTCATTTAATTTTAGGCATAATTCATTTTTCATCATAATCACATTAATATATGTACATATTAATATATGTACTGTGTCTTAAAATTTTGTTTTTCTTTCTTTATCGAGACATCAAACCTCTGTATATGTGTCAAAGCTTTGGAAAATTTGCTTCAACTTAAAAATATTTCTTTCGTATTATTTCACGTGTAACTTTCAAAGATCTTTCCCTTGAGTATCGAAGATTTAAATGTATCATACTTCTTAAATAAAGAGATCTTGATGGGTTCTTTCTTTCTTCTTATATAGATCATGAGATTCGATATGTCGATGGATTCGTTGAATGTTACTCGCTCGGAAAGTGTGACAGATCTCAATATGGAAAATGGTCTTCCGCATCCGCGACGTGCATCAATAGGTCACGCGAGAAATGACGAAAACTTTATATCTGCACCGCCAAAGCCATTTGGAATCGGTAAGCTCATTCTCTCTATTCATTATATTAATGTATGGATAACATTCACATTCGTTATAGATATATACATATATTCTATGATTTCTTAATTTTGTGTATACACACATTCTGAATTATTAGATTTAAGCTACCATTGCCTCGAGCAGAGATATGAAACATTTCTTTGTAATTTGTTTGTGAGACATTATCCTCGCAAAGCAAGATTGTTTATGAAATCATAGAAAGCCAAAAGTTACAAGTATCGTGATACACGAGACTTCCGCGTTCATTTATGCAATCATTCATAATCATTCATAGTAATCCATTTTATGTCA